CTTGTTTGTTTTTCAGTAAGTTATTTATTTGCGTAAATGCAATTATCTAGGTAAGTATCGGATAAGTGCATTTACACATGTTCTTTTATTTTTCATGTAAATAAGGCAATGACCATTTTAGCCATAAAAATTCATTATTAAAAATGACATTTTTGTCTCATTCAAGTGTTGGCAATTTTCCCCCAGGTGGAAAAATTATTTACCCACCTAGAAGATGGGTATCACTTACTTAGATAAGTGGTACCCAGGAAAATAAACTTTCCCTGATCCCTACATAAATCTGAAAAAAAAACATAGGGTTCTTGGTCAATAAAAATCAAAATCCCATTAACCAACTTTCCCCTCTCTCAAAATCCCAAAAAAAAGACCCCCGAGAAAAGAAATTGAATCACTGGACAGATTACAGATTCACATGCATCACAGTGATCACACTATCATAGGACACAACCACACGGGAGAGTGGACAATGGAAACTTCAACTCTTCAAGTTCAGAAGAATCAAAGTCAAGTCATACCACAGACCTGCATTGAGACTGACCATTTATCGACTGTCATCTCTCATCTGCTATAACTTATAAGTTAGACCTGCATCTATCAATCCAGTGAGTTGTTCTCCTTCTCTTTAGTTTCTATGCTTTATATATTTAATCTTTTTTTTATCATTTTGTTTAATTCACACTTCAAAAAATCACAGTTCACAAAGGCCAAAGGGGGTTAGGTTTAATTAATGTTTCTAATTTTAGTTCGGTTCATCAGTTCATCACAAATTTGCTTTGCGAAACCTTTTACTTCGGATTCATTAGCCTATTAGAGTATTAGGAGTCTTTAAAAACATGTAAAAGTAAAACCTTTTCATTATTTTATTCAAAAACTATTTGAACAACAAAACCTGTTCGATAGGTTGAACAATAAAACCTGAAACCCGTTATCACTTATCAAGTTATCATTCATAACTTTTTTTACCATATTCCCTCGCCTTTTCAACCATGTTTACACTCCCAACTCCAATTTCAATCAATCTGTTTCGTTCCATTTAACAAATAATTTTACTATTTAAAACTTTTAGAATAAAAAAACATTTTAATTTCTGAACCTATTGATTATTATACGAAATCAGCATCTAGGCTTCTTGTTTTGCAGACATTTTCTAATGGTTGTACATATTTCCAATTATCTGAAATCCATTATAGAGCTAGCATCTATGAAATCCATTGTATATACATTCACCAATTTACTGCTGAGTTGATTATCATTCTACTAAGGTTTATAACATTTAATATATTTTCTCGATTTGAAATTTTGAATATACATTTGATGAGGGCGGATTTGGCCCTCTAATGGCATTGTGATACATGGCATCTTAGAACAGTTAGTTGGTACATAAATACCATCTAAGCAATGGCTTGGAGTCCCAAATCACGGTTTCTCTTCGCCCCGACCTGGCGACCTGTCTTCATCGCCAACCTAGCAACTTCAACCACAACTAAAGTCGGCTAGAAGCGCCTCATCCAAGGCCGACCTGTAGCACCTTGTCATTGGCCGAAGTGACCTCGACGCGAGGAGTGACCTCCCTCGAGGGCATGCCGGCCTGACTGAGGTCCAGGTGGCGACCTGTGTGACATGCTCGCCAACAAATTCAGCATGCATATCCCGACACTCCAGCGTTTTTTGGAACTTGGTCTACGTACCGAACGTTTTGGAGGGTGGTCAACGTGCATGGTGGTTACCTATGAGGATTTCAGACCGGTTAGGCACGATCTCCCAGGAATCTCGGATGCAGTGCGTGAGGCCCACACCAAACAATGCCTATATAAAGGCACCAATCCCAAAGACCTAGGGAGAGGAGAAGAAAGGTATGCGCAATTACTTGCTCACTAACTTAAGCATCGGAGTGCCCACCCCCGGGTAAAGCAACCCGGGCACTCTGACATTGATTTCTTGCAGGTTTCTCTAAAGAGCTACCCAGTTCGACATTCAACCTAGCTCGGCACCCGATCTACCCCTCAACTCGGCCTAGTCAGCTTGGCATCTAAGTCTTCATCCGGCATAAATCCTCCACTTTGGCCTCTGAGTCATCAGCCACCAGAAAGTAGCCAGACAACCAAAAAGTAATCAGATTGTACACCACTAATCAGCATCCGAGTCACCAACCAGCCAGGGGCTGCCAAAAACTGCATCATCAACATCCATAGTCTTTATGTGATTTTGGCAAATTCGAAGTTTGCATGATGCTTTTATTTCCTCATTCTTTTGGCTTCCTAGATAAATTTTATCGTTATCACGCTTTTGGAGATAGTTTTGTGTTGATTAACATTTTAATTAATTAGTAGTTAAAAAATAAAGGTTATACCAAGGATATTAGCTTCTTTGTAAGATCAAAAATTCATAATTCATGAAAGACAAATGAGAACATCTACGCCTATGCTATTGATTTAGAACTCATACATGACAATTTATTTTATAGGAATCTCACCTTTAATTGGAGAAATTCATTTCAATAAATTAAACTTTTCTTGTTTATTAATCTATACATTAATATCAAAAATAAACTAGTTATAATACTATTTTTTATGTTTTTGGGTCTTAGATGTCACAAGTTAAGGAACACGCAGATAAAAATCCAAATATAACCGAAGTTGGCAATACAAATCCGCCATGTCCAAGTCAATAGGAGGAGACTAATGAAGCAGCTTTGAAAAATCAATTATATACTTCTCAAAGTTCATTTTATAGGTAATGATTAGAGATTACATAAAATACTTCTGAATTTTGTTTCAATCTCTAGTCATAAGGGTGAGATGATTGGTAAAGAAATTGAGAAGTCCCTCCTTGATTGGGGCATTGAGAGGGTTTTTACAATTACCGTGGACAATACATGTTCTAATGATCAAGTTATTGCTTATTAAAGAAGAAAATTAACAATTGGGAGGTAATGTATTGAATGAAAATTTTCTTTATATGAGATGTATTGCTCATATTATTAACTTAGTTGTCTAAGATGGCTTGAAAGAATTGAATGATTCGGCTGTGAGTGTAAGGCATGCAGTTATATATGTGAGGCAATCTCCATCTAAGATGCAAAAATTCAAAACTTGTGTTGAGGAGAAGATACAAAATAAGAAGCTGTTCTGTCTTGACATCTCCACTAAATGGAACTCAACATACATGATGTTAGAGCTTGCCCAAAAGTTTCAGAAGGCACTTGAAAGGTTTGAAGAGAAAAACTCCAATTATAAAAGTGAACTTAGGGAGAGGGAGGGAAAACGGAAACCTAATGATGAAGATTGTGATAATGTAAGAAGATTGACATTTTTTAAAATCTTCTATAATCTGACATTGCATGTTTCTGGCTCAAGATATGTGACTTGTAATGGTTTTCTTTATGAAATTTCTAACCTTAACAACCTGTTGCAAGAATGTTGTAGGAGTGATGATTTTGATTTAGTATGTTAGCTTATAAAATGAAAGATAAATTTGACAAGTATTGGGGAAATTTAGAAAAGATGAGTATTATGATATTTCTCTCAGTTGTGCTAAATCCATGGTACAAAATGGAGTATGTGGGGTTTGTGATTAAAGAAATGTATGAAGGTCTTATGGATTTAGCAATTTGTAAGAAGGTGAAAGATGTGCATTACACTTTGTTTAATGAGTACAAAATTGGCAATTCAACTACAAACAAGCAATTATGTGATAAAGCTCAATGTTCAAGTGTGGTGGATGATAGAGAACCATTACAAAAGGTGAGAATACAAGATTGTTACAAGAGGCTCAAGTTTACAAAAGGATAGTGAGGATAGCAAATGAGAGTTGGATGCATATTTGGTTGAAAGTGAAGAGGAGGATATTGATTCTTTTGATCTTTTAGATTGGTGGAAGATTAATGCTCCTAGATTTCCAACACTTTCACAAATAACATGTGATTTGTTGGTAATTTCCATTTCTATTGTTGCTTTTGATTCGGCATTTAGCATGGAAGGGAGTGTTCTTGATCAATTTAGGAGTTATTTGACTCTGAGGCTCTCATTTGTGCTCAAGATTGGTTTTGAAATTCTCGTTTACCCAATTATGAAGAGAGTGTGGATGAACTTGATGTACTTGAGAAAGGTAAATGATTTATTTCTTTTTTTTATTAATTTAATATTTATAATATTCAAATTTGCATGGGTCCACCACTGATTATATTTTTTGTAGATATTGTGAATATTCAATTGGAGACCAATGTTTAGGGGTATGGTTTTTACCATTAACAAATATCAAGTTTTGGTAATAAAACTCTTATTTTAGAGGATTACAATGTTTTTGGAAGTATTATGGTGTTTGTTTATTTTGAACATTTCAGGTCTTTGTATTACAAATTTCAGATTTGGCTATGAAGCATTGGTTTATCATGTGACATGTGTTAGCTCTCTCTTTTGGTAGACTTGTTGGGTGTTTGCTTTTCTTTATTTTAGTGGATATCACAATGTTTTGGATTTGAGAAAGAGAGAGGGATTAAATGTCCATTTGTTTATGAAGTTGAGCTTCCTGGCAAGACAATGGAAGTGTTCTTCGTTGCACTAGGGGAATTGTGGAAGTGAAACAAGTGATTGATTCTGAAATTTTAAATATAATTTGGCATTGCTTTTGAGTTTTGACATTACATTGATTCAAGTTAAACCGAAGTTTAGAGTTAAGAATACTTGATTTTCATTGTTGCACATAATTAAAATGAATTCTGGAGAATTAATACAGCTGCATGTACTGTTTTTGACTGTGATATCTTCAACAAGAAGTGCTATGTGCTGGTGCATATCTGTTTTTGACTATGATTTTCATTGTTTGTTTGATTGATTATAATTTTTTCCTGTATCATGTCTTTCCGGCATCATAAAAATCCGGAAAAATAAAACAAAAATGAGCCTTATATGGTAATGGAGAAAGCATATTATTATTATTATTATTATTTTGTTTTTACATCATCATTGACTGCATCATAATAATATGGTAGTAGAGAAAGCAGCGTAACATGTGTAAATGCTGAAGAGACAGAGTCAGAGGGAAGGAGATGAGTCGTTGCTTTGCTTGCTTCGGGGTGTCTGAAGAGAATAAACGGAGAAAACAGGAAGAAGATCACTTGGCCTCTCAAGAAGCTCGAGCCAAAGCAGCCGAAGCCGCAATGCGAAGGTAATTTTTTTTTTTCTTTTTTCTTGCGAACTAAATCCCGCAGTAGTATGTCAATTAGGTTTCCCTCTTCCTATTGTTTCATTTCCATCTCCCTTTAACATGCAATTATTGTTTCTCGCGGCTCCGAGTTCTGAACTTATTGAAACAGAGATTATTTGAGATCCCTTGTGGCCTTATCCAATTGTGTATGTTGGCGTTTGGGGAGATTTCTCCTGTCTGACTCATCTCTCCGAATCTTCGCCAAAATCACGTTGCCTTCACGAAGGGAAATTAAACAATTGAACTTTAATATTAGATTTTTTTTTTTTTTTTTTGGACGAGATCTTAGCCTTACTTTTAAGAGCTCTACTGTATAACCAACTGTCTCCTTAAATCCCTCATATCCAATAAAACTTCTGACTTAATGGAAGTCTTCCTCCTCCACATAAACGTAAAATCTAGTAGTTCGACCCATAATCCCATCTCCCAAGTTCCTTTTCCAAGTTGCAATTGTCTCTCAAGTCTTTCCCAAGTTGCAACCCAACGTTAGAAAATTTAATAAACATAACGTTTCTGTAAATAATATTTTGCCTACCAAAATATTTTTCTGCAATCCAAACGCAGCCTAATAAAATTTTTGGTGGTAAGTTTAATTTCAGTTTACTAGAATAATGAGTTTCTCTAGTTGCTAAGACATAGTAGAAAAAGTACATTAAATTTGTTCCATTTTTCGAATATGTAGAATTTTCCTCATCTTTCAATGTTATGGCAAGTACGGAATAAGTGTTGGATCAGCGTAAAATTTATAAGAGATCCGTCCGGCCTTCTCCATAGACTTGAACATGCGATGTAGTTAAGAACCTACATTTTGCAGATCTCACCAATGAGATATATTGGACCAGGGATTGAACCCTATGGTCTAATCATCTTTTCTTTCTATAATCATGTTCCTTTTGATTGCAGATGAAAATAAGAAGAATATACTGCTAGAGAAAGTCTGTAGTCAATGATGATTACTTATACAACCTATTCAATACACTTGGTCCACTGTTGTTGGATATAAAGCCTAATGAATCTAGGGGTCTTGGTTGCAAATTTTGCTAATAGAGTATGCACACATTTTACTATTATCCTATCATCAGTGGGAGGTCCAGTTTTGTTCTCAAAGTTGCTTATAAGTAAGCTATGTATATATAATATCGGGATTGATATTATCCTAATTCCCAAATTCCATGGCCATATTGACATAATCATGTGCTTGTCAGCATCATCTTAACCACTATCTCAGAACACCCTTCTAATTTGTGCCTATCTTCTTCACAGCTTTAACAATCTATCCAGAATAATATTAAGAGAGACCTCAAGGAATGTAATAATAATATTGTTCTATTTCTTAAGCACTTATAGTGTGATGCAAACTGCAGGCAAGAGCAATTTGAGAAATCTGCTGCAGGAAGAGCTGCACGTAAACAGAAATTAGCAGAAGGAAATGCAAAGAAATCTACCACCTCCAACAGAGGGGAACCAGTTCTTAAGGTATACCATTGAATGTACCATTTCCTTCACTTAGTCTAATATGAGCATAAGAATAAGATAGAGATACAGTGCTCTGTTCTAATCTTATTCAACAATAATAGAAGGGGTCCAGTCATTGGATCGGGAGATGATGTTATTTACTCTTCTTCAATTTCCATTACATCAACCCAATGAATAGGAGTCTTCTCTTATACTCAATTAGTAAAGAGGCTGTTGCATGATCATGATTAGGATAAATGAGTTTGAACACTTGTGTTCTGTTTTCTGGATGCAGTGGCAGATGGGATGATGCTTAGACTTTTGGCTGTCCAATTGTAACTGTTTATTGTAAGTTTGTTGAAATTCAACTGGAGTTTTAATAACTATTTTATTTATTTAAAATTTCAGTATTATTTGATGTAGACCCATCAACTTGCAATTGATTACTGGTGCAGTAAACGGTCTCCCATGCACAGATTACTTCCTATTCTTATTTTAAACATATGGTTTCACAAACAAAAAATACCCTTTACAAGCTCCTTTTAATGTTTATAACTTTATATAACATAATAATTATATGATATGTATCCAGGTTACAGTGGAGCACCTAGGTGCCCACCTAGGAATCACTTAGGTAACAGCATTTTACAAAGAGAAAACCAATTCCCTAGTTTTGTATACCAATTAGCATGCATATAAGTTGAAAAAATGGCAATCTCTATACTAATAATATTAATTTTCCTCTCAAAACAATGCAAACCATCAATATTTCTAAACAACACTGTAATAAAATAAGTATTTAATAGAGTAATTGCATGTACCAACTGTTGGTGGCTCAGTTGGTAGGTTCTCTGACTCATTGGAGTAGAGACCTGGGATCAAATCCTGCTGCCACCAGGGTTGGGGGTTGAGGGAGGGGCATGGGCTACCCCCATTGTGTAGCCCCATGAAGCAAAAAATAGAGTAATTGCATGTCTAAATTGTACTAGCAACTAAAGGACACAATTTTATACTTTTAAAATTTTAGAAAAAGAAACAAAAAAGAGAAATTTAATTTTAGCAAGAGAATAGTTGTAGAAAAAAGAAGAAACATCTTTCATCATTCTTTTTTTCTTTTATGGACAAATGCCTTATAAATTAGAGGTTTTAAATAAGTAGGAGTAAAACAGAATATATGATATGAAAATTTAATAATAATAGGAGAACAATGTTGATCAAATAATAATAATAATAATAATAATAATAATAATAATAATAATAATAGGAGAACAAATGAAGGCACACTTAGGATTGGAGACCAAGAAATAATTCAATGCAACCTTGTCCTGTAGTTGGGTTCAATAGTTAATAACAAGAGAGAGATTGAGGAGGAGAAGAATGTAACTGGAGTTCTATGTGATGGGCCAATACCACTTGGATTAAAAGGAAAATCCGATGAAAGCACTTGTAAGGTCAGCTATGTTGTATGGAGTAAAAATGTTGGGCAGTCAAAAAAATATCCAGAAAATGAGTGTGGTAGAAATATGTATGTTGAGATGAATGAGCAGAAAAACTAAAAAGGATAGGATCAGAAGTGAAGACATTCATAGGAACCTAGGAATAGCTCCAATAGGTGATAAAATGAGAGAAAATAGACTAAGATGGTTTGGTCATATGCACAGAAGATTATTGACAGCACCTGTATGAAGAAGCAACAATCTGTTCCAAGTTGAAGGGGCGAGAAGGGCTAGGGTAGACCAAAAAGGACATGGGTTGAAGTAGGAAGAAAACGATTTTTAAGTGCTCATAATTTACAATGATATGGCTTTAAACAGAACAGAATGATGAAACAAGATAAGGCTTGGATGATGATGATGATGAGTAAAACCCTGAAACAAAGCATATGTAATGTCACAAGGTATCAATTTTTCATAGGTGAGCAACGAGTTACCTAGACAGGCACCTTTCATCTATTCAGACTATTTCCCCAAACCAAGGATCCTTGTCACCTAGGAGACCTTGACAACTATGTCCCAGATATTCTTGCGAGTGGCAAAGGAAACCATAGCCTAACACTTCTGAGACCTTACCTAGATAGCCTCCCAACACAATTCCAAGGAAAGGAAGTCTAATGAACCTTGAAAAATGGGCAAAAGGATTCCGAAGCAGTGAAGTGTGAAGTGAACGAGAACAAAAGAGTCAAGTGATTCATCGTTGCTTCACTTGCATTGTGCATGCAACATCTGTCCAGAATTTGTAGACTGCTATAGTTTTCCCATTCTTATTTTCACGGTAGTACTTTCTCTTGGTATTTAAAGGCTATGTCATATATGCATCACCATATGAATCTTCTTTTGTTAAACCGTCTTTCTTGCCTTGATTTTCGGTATGTGTAAAGTATTTAACTGAAAAATTGTCTTTTTTCTTTTTGGCTCTTAAGTATAAGCTGTTTACAATAAGCTTCTTGGGTATTAGATAAGGAATTTACTAAAACTTCATTTATTTTCTTCTGTTATATCTAAAAATTTCACTTTGTTTTTCGCATTCACTCACTGCAGAATTTATTAAATCATTCAAATATAGCGTGAGCTGTTTTATTTTGTTTGAAGGAGCACCCATTTGAAGATGTCTAAAGCAAATGTTCCTCGCGGCAAATAAATTGTAACCCACTGTAAATCTCTCTTTTCTATTTTGTGTCCTCCCACTGTAAGTATTTCTAGGCACTTTAAGCCCATGTCAGATGCCAAGGGCTTGTTATGTAATCTCTTTGCCTTCTGAGGACTGTGGAATATAAAGTTGAAGTTGTAGATTTTTATTTTCTGGTGCTTTACTGACGCCAGGTTCCCAAATGGTGATGGGATCTGCTCCTCACAAATGAGCGCCTCACAGTCACCACCACCGTCCATTGAGAACATCTTCTGTGAATAATAACTAAGAAGCACGGGAGATGTTCCCAATGTATGATGGGATGTGCGTGTGAGGCGCGTGTGAGGAGCATATCTGGTCTCCCCCAAATGTGTTTCTGGTCATCCAATGATCTTTGACTCATTTTAGAATATAGTTGATTTAAATCTCGGAGTTTGGTCAAAGTTTAGTTTCTCAAATAGCTTGTAACCGGATCTTGGCAATTATGTTCATCTACTAAATATGCTGCAGATCCATAAATACCATGAAATGGTGATGATGTGCAATTCATGACATTTTTTCGGCAATTGACATTAAATTGGAAAAGGATGATCATTCTTGGAGATCCTGCATGCAAGGTTCAAAATATCAATACGGGTGCATCAGCCGTATCGAAGTTGATTTCTTTTTTTTTTAGTTTTTTTAACCTATCTCAGATGGATCGATTTAGGGCATGTCTACCCCTGAATTGGGTTAAACCCTGAACCTACACCTGTAGGGATATAGCGGGAAGACCCGATTCAATATATATCGGCCAATACAGTCCAATACGTATCAAAATTTCAAACCTTGCCAGAATGTATATTCCACTGTTGTTTAACTATTTAACTTTTTCTCCATCAAATCAAACATAGCCGAAAGGAATAGTCACAAAATTATTGTATGGCAGTATATATAGCAGCCTGTCGCGAAATAATTGTCGTTTTGACATTAATAACAAGGCATTCTAATGGCTTCCGGGCTTGTGAGTAGCCTCTTAACAACCGCTCGGCTAACCACAATACAAAAGGTCTTCTAACATACTTGATTCCTTGGAGGATTCTGACAAGGACAGTGGCTTCAACCACCACATATATCACCCACCATGTGTAGACATCAAACAATTTACGCAATTTAACCTGCACATCCTGTCTCCATTAACAATAAAATGGTCTTACACTGCTTTTCATTTCGCCGACTTGAAATTAGGCATGAGCGAGTGTTTTACTATAGTGACTGGCTTTTCTCATAGTTATGGTGAGCGTTTTACACCATTTTAGCGAGGAATGAAAGTGGACAGTAGTACTGCTGCATGCATAATTCATAATTGTTTCAAATGCATGCCAAAGAGAAATGAGAACGGAATAATAACAGAGTTGGGCAAAGATTTTGATAAAGGAGATCGCCTTGGGTCACTTGTATCGTAGAGTCAAATCACCTACATGGAATTTAAACGGGAAAGAAACACCATTTTCCAAAAACTGCCTATAAGATCTAACTTGTATCTTTACCCTTTAGGCTTAGTTTGGAAAGAGTACAAATACAAATATGTAGAGTGCAAAATCTTGTATTTGTATTATTTTGAATGTATTTGGAAGGAGTAACAAATATATGTACAGTGCAAATATATATAAAATAATATAAAATACAAGGTTTTGCACTCTGCAAATTTGTATTTGTACTCTTTCTAAACTGAGCCTTGCACATGTGCATAACCCTTGATACTAGGACTAATAAATAAGAAATCAAACAAAACCTCCAAGATTCAAAACTTATTGGTTTAAAGAAATGGATAATAAGAATAAAAAGGATATGCCAGGATAACTATTATCTCTAAGACTCTACTACCAAAATTGATGGGTCCATGCATAAAAGCTGTCGACAAATAACCAGTGCAACTGTAGTTTAATGATTACTTGCAATTCCATAAACAAAAATTTGACGATAAAACAAAACCTCGTTTTCAAGCCCCAATAACTTCTGTTTCCCCTTCCACGGGAGCATCTTCTGCAGGTCTATCCACCTTAACACCAATATCTTCAGAGTAATCACCATGAACCTGCAAGAAAAATCAAGCACCCCAACCAATTCAAGATGTGAAAGTATGAATGCCGTCACCCTTGTTCACAAATATACCCAAAAAAAAGACAAATTTGGGGAAAATTAAAGCATCGATGGCTTTTTAGTTAGGCAATTGAGCTACACAAAGGGGTGTGGCCCTTCTCCCAGCCATAATGAAGGCAGGATTTGGCTCTAGGTCTCTTATAACCAGGAGATCAGAAAATTTTGCCTCAAAATAGCAGTATTTTTTAAGTTACAGAAATGGCAATAAGGAAATAACCAAAAATAAACAAAAGCCAAGCAGGTCCTCTATGGATATGAACTTGACTTTCTAAAATTACCATATCAAAAACATACCTCCATCAGCTTCCCAAGATCAAACTTGGGGGCCTTCAAGATTTTTACTTTGCGGATGAAAACATTCTGAAGTGGATATATGCTTGAGGTTGCCTTCTCTATCTCTTTCCCAATGACTTCAGGAATAAATTTCTGAACCAGCTCCTTCAGGTCACAAGATGTAGCTTGATTCACCATTATCTCTCTCATTTTCCGGCGAATCTGAATAATAGAACAAAATGCAATAGATTTCAAATGCAATAGAAATTTAACACAGCAAAATTTAAGTGAGACAAGATTAACCACGTCATACCTGCCTGATCTGGCTAGACTGGGCATAGCAAGTACGCTTGACCTGATTAGGGCGTCTCCTTGTGAAACCAATACAGAACATCCTAAGAGTGTAGTTGTCTGTAGTCTTGACATCAACATGGGCTTCTATCAGTGTCTGCCACTTGCGCACAAGTGATCTAAGCTTGTCGGTGGTGAAATCCATGCCCTTGAAGATATGGAAAAGAAGAAATTATTTGAGAACATAGAGGAAAAAATGACTAAAGCGGAAAAAAAGATACTCTCCATTCATACCCAAAAGTTTGTCAGAACATTCCTTCCTTGTACATCCTCTGCACGGAGACGGATCTTTCTGTATGACTGGTCATCATCATTTTGGAGATCAGCGAGGCAAACCTCAAAGACTCTGTGCTTAAGGCCCTCAGATGCAATCTGTAAAGGTACCAAAAGAAATAAAATCAACCAGAACAACATGAGAAAAAATGTATCAATAGGGAAACCAAGGAACAATATCTCCAGGAACTACCCCATGGTAACTGAAACAGAAACAATTTGAGCGTATGAGAGAAACCCTCAAAAATGCAAATCACTGAGTAGATGTTGTTGATAAGGTAATCAATTAGACTCCTTGCATATTTGTATTTGCACTCTTCCCTAATCACTGAGAGATGTTGGGAAGAGTGCTGAATGATTGGATACTTTCTAACTTTCATGGACCTTGCATATTTGTATTTGCACCCTTCCCAAATGATGCCTTAGAAACTGCCAAGTAAGCAAATAATAGAAATTGAGCCATCCAGTGTCCCTTTATCCCTCATCCACCAATGGTCCAAAACATTTTAGTCAAACCATGGGCATAACATCAAATGCCTATCCTTTCCCACCCACAAACCCCATCCATTTCTCAACAGCATATTCAAGGCATCAATCAATCCTGTACTTAAGGTTCTCAATCCAACTTTTCACACTGGATTCAGCACAAAATACTCAAAGGCTGATGTTGGAAAAAACAGACCTAGCGCAGGTAGAAATTTGAACCATGACTTAATTTTTTATCAAAAAGTAAAGCATTATATCAATGTAAAGTATCAAGGCAAATATATCACTACCCATGTACAACAAGGTTCTTTAATGGTATAAAATAGTCACAATTCACAAATATGTTTTCAGCATTAAAAAACAGGAATTTAAATTCTCTTAAATTGTTTGTGAACCATCAGCCATGAATATAACATGCAGTGCACCTTTCATGTGATCATATCCAATGTTTTAAAAGCACAAGGCACAAGGGGTTTTTTGCACATCAGGCAAAAGGCAAGGTGCATGCCTTTTGAATCAAGGCTCAAAATTTTAAAGAAATCAAAAATAGTAAAAAAATAATATTAAAAACAATATTGACTAAAAAATATAAACCTCAATTTTAAAAGAAATTAAATGCTTTAGAGAGCCTATTGGCTCAAATTAATATACAAAAACATAGTGTATTGGACATATGTAAGTAAATAACAATTCAAGCATGAGAAACTTTCAATAACTTTGGTTTTCCTCAAATGCATTACTTCAAGTCGTTAATGTGATGTTAAACATGTTGCATTCTTAATTCCACAAGCTGCCTTTATACCAAGCCCCTTTGAGAGTTGAAGCAAGCCCAAACAAGTTCAAGCCAAGGTCTTAAATTTGTAACCTGAATATAAAATGATTACTTTTGTACTTTTAATTGTAGTTCTTACCTTTCAAAGAATGTCTTGTAATAAGATGGATGAGAGAACACTAGGAAAAGGGGGAGGGGTCTCAGAGCGTCAGTGAGAGAGTGGAGAAAGTGAGGATTAAATAATGTGATTGACCAAAGATAGAACTGCTTCAAGGAAAGATATATCTCTGGGAGGGATTAAAACTCAGGGGTGTTATTCTGAACTTAAGAGACACCACATCAAGCTTCTTAGACCTCCCTCTTTCTCTTCACTTCTCCTAGCAATGGTCACTAAACAGTTCTTTATCCATAGTAGGCAATTGACACGTTTTAGCTTCCCATTTTAAATTCAACATGTTTAGCACCTAAGAGTGATACTCATCATTAGGAAATACTCACCTCCCAACTCCTATGAACCTTAACCCAATAAAAACCATTTTTCATGTACAATATGGAAGCATACTTCAACTGCACATGTCATTTGAACTGGAAAATTGCAAGTAGAGGCTGATACCTAACTAATAACAAACCGACAATTCCATTTAATTAACCATGTTTATGCACAATTCAGGGATCACAAATGTTAACAACCGTAAACCATCACTTCGTGAACTCCCAATCGAGAAGGAACAACTGAGTGCCATCTAGAAAAAGTAACGGATGGAAATTCGCTGACATTTCATTAAAACTTTTAGCTCCATCGACAGAATGAACTAAGTCGAGAAAGCCCAACGGAAAATTATTTATGAAAATTATGAAAGAAACAAAGGAAATAATGAAAATAGAGAAGAAAGTGAACTCTTCCTCACCATAATGGTATTCATTGCAATTTGAGAATTTCGTATCAGATTTTAACGGAGCAAAAGAAAAAAAAAATCTACCTCAAAAATAATCCATCTTTCAGATTCAATAAAATGTAAACTAATGAGAAAACGCTGACCTTGGTACCCTGTGTCCTTGTGACTAGAGTTTTTCCAATGGTCCGCACGCTGAAGATCGATGGGACCTTGATATCATACCAATCCTTCTTCGCGAAGGGGTCGACTCTGTATATCACCATTAACAACCAAAACGAAGAAAACAGCAACATAAATCAAAATTATGTACACTAAGAGATCCAAGAGAAATATTGCAGAAATCTAACGCTAACTTACGCCTTCTTCTTCCCACCCTTCTTCCCCTTGGAAATCCTCTTGTTCTTCCTGAAAATCAATAAATTAAACAACACTAAGTTCCTGGAAGCCATCCAACAGACTAAGAAATCAGAAATATGAAAAGATGAACGACACTAACCCGACGGCCATTGTCGATGCTGTTGAAGCTCCGGCTCAGACGAGTAAGAGAACCTTGGAAGGGATTGAAAGCAAAAAAAGAAGGCCGAGAGAAGACGAGAAAGCTAATACATTCCTTTTTATCTCTCTGTAGCCAGTAGCCCTAATCAAAAATGACCTTGAGCGCGGGCCGAAGCCTAATCAATGATCATTACTTACTCACTTTGGGCTTGAGCTTGCTCAGGTCCATTACGAACCCAAACTTGGCCCCGAAGCCTGATCAATGATTACACACTCACCTTGGGGCTTGGGCTAGTTTGGGCTTGAATTGCTTATGATCCTTTTTTTTTTGGTAGGGAGACATGAATAACCATTAAAACACATTATTCTAAACCATTTTCTTCTTCCTGAATAGGATATAATCATAATACGAATCTGGACCACCAAGGCATCTACCATGCAGTGGATTTACTGGAAAATCAAATAAGATTCAAGAGGTTGAAAGTTTGAAACATCTATTTCTTTTTCTTTTTTTTTTTTTTTTACTTACGACGCTTGGGCGAAGGCCAATCCCCATCCTATATTAATATGACTCAACTGAAGAATAAGAAGAAAGCGTAATCTGGCGAGTTATCATGTGCATAGGAACAAAGACATTATACGGAAGGGCGTTTTTTATATGAACTCTTTGATCATATTTTGGTGTTTCGAGGCGTACATATTTATGGTGGTGAATCCAATTTTTATCGATGATTGGCTTTGCACATTCCGCTCCATTTGGAAGGAGTACAAATACAAATATGTAGAGCGCAAAATCTTGTATTTTATACTATTTTGTATAAATTTGCACTGTACATATTTATATTCGTACTCCTTCCAAACTGAGCCTTCAGAAAGAATGACCTAAGCGTTAAACGGGACGAACAATGCTATCAAAGAAAATCTATGGCGGTTGGGTTGGGGCATGACCCATATGATGCTCCATTCCATTGCATTCAATATTGAATTGCGACCCGCTAGGTCAACAATCCCATCAGATCTCGGAACATCTCCATGTAGATTGTAGACCAGAGGAAGGGGATTGGGAATATATATATATATATAGAGGGAGAGAGAGAGAGATCATTTCGTTGGTAATTGGTATTATGGGCCTGTGCTGTGGGGTTGCTGGGTCATGCACATCTGGCCACCTGCCTCTCTATAGCAATTAACACGTCATCAATTGACGAGAGTCGAGAGGCAAGAGTCAACACTCAACAAGTCAAGAGTCAAAATCCTCAAATGACGACGAGGCTAATTTATAAATGGGTGTGACCAGCACGTGGTCAAAACAGACACTGTCTCTGCCGGTGCGGGCCTCTGCAACTGCAAGCTTTTGGTCGACGACTACTCAGCGGTCCAAAGTCCAAATTGATCGTGATCAAATAAATACTGACTACAGTCACGACGCGACACTCCGTTTGGCCGTTTGGGGGACTTCTAAGATTATTACAACAATTGGGAAGTGAACAACAGTAATCAATCCCCAACTATAGATTCATTCCAAATTCAGCCTTCACACCCAGATGAGGTATAATTACATAAAATCCAATTGACACCATGCTCACAACAGAGTAGATAAGAGGATACAACAAATTATCACACAATCCCCCAACAGTATCCTCCCAATCAGAAGGGGAACACTCTCTAACATATTGCATAGAGAAGACAATGGTCAAACAATCGGAAAATCCAGTTAGACAAGAAGAAACAATGCCACCAACCAACCACCGAAAGTGCAAACACGCTTATCTTCTCAGTTCTTCAATTTGGAGTGCTTTACAAGCCAATCAATGACGGAATCAATGTTAGTTGAGTTCTTGCATGAAATCATGAAGCAGCATACTTCTCTGTCCGTCATAGATCTCAGCCCCCTGCATGGCACACAATCCCATCCTCAGTACCAGTAATCATATTTTACTTTAAAACCAGAAATTGTCTGATGAAACCCATTGCCTTTTTTGAACTCCACATACTAAATGATCTTCTAAGGCTAAATACCAGGGAAATTTACATGAACCCATTGCCACTTACATCTGATCTGTCAATGCCTCTTTGGAGAGCGCTTCTGGCTTGTCAATCTTATTTCCTAGTACCAGTAATGGAATGCCATTCAATGACGGTTTGCTTAACAGGTCATGAAGTTCACTTTGTGAGATCGACAGGTTATCTTGATCAGCAGCATCAACAACGTAACTGCAACAAGTCAGAGAATATCAGTACATAGAGTTTAATCCAAAGTTTTGTAAGTATATGGTAGTGAGGCACTCTAATGGAGTAATCCAATTAATAAATGGAACAATGAATCATCACTTTAGACTTCTTATTCAGACCCAGATTTTTCCTGAACATGTGTGGACATATATGTGCATATCAGGAATGAATTAAATGCGGATATGGTCGAATGGTAAAATTTATCTTTGCCAAGGAGTAGACGTGGATTAGATTCCTAATATCCACCTATCTTCCCCCCTTCTTTCACTCCCATCCCAAAAGAAAATAGTTGTTAGTTAACAGAGTTAGACCTAAAATTTTTTTGACAAAAAAAAAAAGATAGAAACAGTAGCTATTAATAAATAAGGGTATAATAGCAATTTTGTCAACAGTTGAAGATGTATATATCATGAATCTCACGCAAGAAACCATGAAAAATGTAAAGCAACATCCTGAACGCAGAAATTTGATCAACTATGCAATGCTCGCATCTAAAAGAATACAATGTGCTGTTTAAAAAATTTGGTAAATAACGTGATGCTTTAGTATTTTGGACTAGGCAATAACCTAAAAGGTATGTTTTCTCATCTCTGTTTATGAGAGAGAGAGAGAGAGAGAGAGATGTCTACGTGTCTTGCTGCCATAACCTTGGGCCTTCGGATAGGCAAGGGGAGTTGTGCCATGTCTCTCCTGTTGTGTCGAGTTTTGAGCATCAATTCTAATTGCAACTAAACCTCAATTTCCACCATTGGCTCCTTGAATATAACTACAAAAATCTAAGTAAACCAACACATACATATGTACACGTGTATGCATGCATATGGTTGACAATTTTCTTTTGTTGACAAGTAATAAAAAAGAAGAAAAAAAGGAAAAAGTCTAAAAGTCTGCACAGGCAAGTAAACTTCTTTTAAAGCAAGGGTTATCCCTTAAGATCCATTTGTTCTGATATAGAAGCCTAGAATGGGCAAATATCTTTTCAACCAACCTTTCTTCAAATAATTCCTTTCCATATTCTCTCTCAGTTAAAGTTTTTTTTTTTTTTTTTTTTTTGAGTTGTCTGTTCAACTTTCTACTTGCCCCCAATTGTTCCTTTTTTTCAATACTACTTTCCAAGTAAATGTTGAGACAACTGTAACTAGGAGTTGGTCTACAGCCTACAAGCTAAAACATAAGCAAGTAAGGCTATAGTTTGTTGATAAGTTCTCTTCTCTGAGACTCTGATATTCAGATCTTAAGTTTTTTGCTTTTATTGGTCTCTATTCTCCAACTGTTTAGGTCCATAAATATTTGGAACTTAAAAATGGAAAAAAAAAAAAAACAATGCACTGATAGGAAAAAGTATTTAGAGGAGCTTTGTTGCATTAGGCATTAACCTGCTATGTCTCACATTGGCCATATGGTTAGAACAAGTTATTACTAACTCTCTATTTATGTTTCACCCTAATCCAATAATAATAGAAGATTATGCATTTCCTATTTTTATCAGAAACAGTAACTTTCATTAGAAAAATTAAGAGAATACACTGTCACCACCCAGTTAAGGGTTTTTACCCCTAGAAAAATGCTTTCTGTTTACAGAACAACCCAAAAGAAATTCTCCCTGAAACTTCCTTGCTTTGCAAGGGTGCCGGCTAGTCCATTTACTAACCTCCTTGTCCACCTGAACAGTGCCCCAACCTCCCTTGCTAAGCAGTTTATTTCCCTCATGAATTGTCGATGTACCCAAGCCCCCAAGTTATGTGACTGCAACCACCCAATTAACAGTTTAGACTTAAGAGTCCCCTTCTACCTCAATCTGGTGTAGGCCCCATTGTTTAGCCAGCCTTAGACCTTGCATCAAGGCCATAATCTCTGCTCTCAAAGAGTCTCCATCACCTACCGGACCAGAATACAGTGCAACCATTCTGCCCTCCCTGTCTCTGAAGGCTCCTCCCACCCGAGGGACCCGAGTTGCCTAAGGAGCTCCCATCAAAGTTCAGATTCGCCCATTGATGTGCAGGAGGGGTCCATTGCTCCTTTATCACAGTGTACCAACCTCTAAACAAATCATCAGCTGAATAAATTTTAAATAAATGAGATGCTTTAAGCCAATGAATGACCTTGGTAGATATGCAATCAATGGTTTGCTCCTTAGATCTTTCAGAACCCTGGAAGATCCTATTATTTCTTTCTTCCCATATTGACCACAAAACAGCTGCTCTTGTTGCTCTCCAAATTGCTCTCCCCTTCTTTGGAGGTCTAAAGAAGTTTGGATCAAAGGGTCTAACTAAAGATTATGCATTTCCTTTCACTAGACATGAACAGGGAAGTGGTAATTATATCAATTCTGAAATTGATTTTTGGTTGTTTTCCCAGAAAAAAAAATTGATTTTTAGTTAGGGGACAATCCTCTCAGTATTTGATTACATTTATATATTTGATTTGATCATTTGGAGGCTGTGTTGCAGTTTTCTAGTGGGTTTGTGTTGTTTGTTTTGTGAAGATAGCAGGTTCCAAAGATCCTGCTATTCCAAAGAGACCAATAGATGTAAAAGGGGGTCCGATTCCAAAGGATCTTGCCTCTGCTACTAAGATCCAAAGCTGCCCAGTTGTGATCAAATCTTCCAAGTTTCTGGTTAACACCCAACTTCTTCTAAATAGCTGGATAAAATGTACCCAGATGCCATACACAAACGGACAGTACATCAAAATATAATTAGTTGACTCACCTTCAATTATTGGAAGGTTCATCCCCATTTCCAGAAACCTATCAATTATTGGAATTGTACCCAGATTGGTACTCCACATAAAGAAGATAGCTTTAGATGGGTAATGAACTTTCCAGATCCATTTCCATGGAACAAACTCTCCCCTTTGTCTGTATCTTGATCTGCCTGACCTCTTCAATCATTGCCATCAATCTATCAGCTTCCCAATCAAAAATGCTATGCCTTAAAGTAGGCATCACATAAGTCTGGCCACCAATAATCTCATAGCAGTCCTTGATAGGTTGCTATAGAAACTAATATATGTGTACTAAGTACTATTTTCTTCTCATTTATAGTATTATCAAACAGCAATACTTTATTTAGATTGAAATAACTACAAGCTGAAGCAACATATATCTAACTTATCTATTTAAATTAATATGTATGCAATCAAACAAACACTAACACCTACCTTACTGATTTTAAGTCATATAGGTTTTCATTGGCTAATTCCTTTTATTAGATAATCAGTTTTGGTTACAAAACTCTAAAGTACATGCAAAGAATGTGCCTACCAAACTTCACTGTTTGTTTGCAGCCAACCTGTAGTAGACTTTATAAAACATGTTCACAAATATATTTATTTCATTATTTCCCCTTCTGTCATTCATTTCTTTATTATCATGGTGGTGGTCCATGAAGAAACTATTCTAACACTGCAGTAGAAAAGTTCAAATCTGTATCCAGTTATTCTGAAACTGTCAACAACAATGAACTCCTCTTTTTCTCTACTAATTTTCATGAAATCAACTTTACATAGAAATTTTAAATCCACTTTTGACAAGACAGTCCTCAATCAAGACCAAATCAATGATCACAAAGTTAGAAAACATTCTAATTAATTCAACTGGCCTATTTCTCCTCACATGACTCCTTGTGTAAAGCAAGTAGGAAGTCCACTTTGCATTCACTAATCCCCTGTTTGTTAGTTATATATATTTTGGAATGGGCAAATCACAAAGGGTTCTGCTCACTCTTTGGATGTAGGTAGGACCCCCTACGAATGTGGTAAGTTTTTTTCAATCTGACTAGCTTTTACCAAGGAGAAAAATGATGCAGCAATGTACATGAGCTTCAATTATTTGGGAAGAAAGAAATGCAAGAACATTTGAAGGGAATGCCCTGGGTAAGGAGAGAATCATAGAGAATAAGAGAATAACACCATTAAAGTGACTCATTGGGTGAAAACTTCTCACCTGTTTGTTAATTTCTCTATTGAGGGCATAAGTAGAAACTGGAATTAGATGGCTGGCAGCTGGCCTTTCAGCCGCAAGAAATATCATATCAGTCCAATGGAACCTTTCTAGAGATCAGGTTATAAAGCTTAACTTTGATGGCTGGTATATTGGTAATCCAGGCCCACCAGGGATTGGGGGAGTCATGTTAGCATTGTTTTCAAGACAAGATGGCCAAGGAGACTCAATAAAGATAGATATGCTAGCAGTTTTTCAAGGTTTAAAGGTGGGGAAGTTGATAAATATGGGAAATGTGGTGGTAGAGGGAGACCCAAAAGTGGTAATAGAATGGCTGAAGGATAAAAATCAAGGATTATGGAGATATAGATTCATCATGAAAGAAATCAGGTACCTAGCACAGGAACTGGTCTCAAGCTTCTGTTGGGTAAAGAGATCAGGCAATGCTATGGCCAATGGATTGGTCAAACAAGTGATTAGTAGGGAACATTTTATTTTGGGCTGAGTTGTAAGTTGTATCTCCTGTAAAGGGAATGGTTGTTTACCAGCCTATGCTTGCTTGGGATGCTCAGGCATATTGTATATGATATTCTTTAATTAATTCAATTCAATAAAGTTCACAGTTAGTCATCAAAAAAAAAAGAAAGAAAGAAAGAAAATGTGGCTACATGAGCCTAGCCAGTGAGACAACCAACCCTAGGAACCATATAGCTTTCTGAGCATTACATCTTAGCTATATTTTACTGGAAGTAGTTATCAATTTTTCTATCTTTTGACCAGATAAGTAAGAATTAATGTATTGACTAAAATAAAAGGAGAGACTCACATAAAACATGCACAATTATAGTTGAATCAGTGCATAGATGTCAGCCATACAAAAGACAGGAGAAACTACATGTCGAAAGGTAATTTAGTCCCATCAACGAATAAAATGAGGCAATTTACAGAAACCCTTATGATCCACCAAATAGAGAACCAAATAATCTTCTGCTAATGATTTTAGCAATTACAGGCTCTTTCGAATTGCACTTTCTCTCAAAGATGCAACTATTGCATTCCTTCCAAATTTTCCAAAAAGTGCAAAGAGAAGAATATTCCAAGTATACACCCCCTACTACTGAAACCCCATGCACGCCATGCAGATTACCAAACAATGTCAACCTTGTAAGAAAAGGGTATGAATACCCTAAGAGTGAAGGAACAATGAAGGAGCAAGCGAGTTGACAAACTCCTCCCTTTTCCAATACAATAAAATAGAAGAACTAGCCCCTTTCTTTACAAAAGATTTTGGGAAGGAAAAAACGATAAGTACATAATAACAAATACGGGAAAAACCAAGAAATTATAAGTGATATTGTGTAAAAAAAAATTGCCATATGTAATACACTAAATAGTGTACATGCATACACTATTGTGATTTTATAGTTAAAAGATATGGTGGATTACACCTACAAACCCGAAAATAGCACATACACATGTTTCTATCAAGGGGCCACTTGGTCAAATTTGGCACCTTTTAGCCTAAAGAACAGACTGGTTATTAATGCAATTGCCTTAATACTTTTTGTCAAGGCATCCCCCACCCAGCCTCCTTGGGGCATCTTGTCACTTGCTGACCATACAATGCATCAACAATCATGAAGAAGACATATTAGAAAATTTTATCATTTTATGTTTGTATTTCTTCTTTCTACTTTTACACCATTGCTCTCTCCTGATTCCCCTTTCTTCTTCCAATATTTGTATGACAAGTCAAAAAGGGAACACTTAAAATTGTAAAACATGTTCTTTCTACTTTTACACCATTGCTCTCTTCTGATTCCCCTTTCTTCTTCCAATATTTGTATGACAAGTCAAAAAGGGAACACTTAAAATTGTAAAATGTCAAAGTTCTACATCTAGCCTTTGGATATCTGAAAAAGCAAGGCTGTTATTAGGCCTTCATAAAATGACTGTAAAGCAAGGTTTTCAAACCGCCATTGACCCAGACGGTCGGACCATTCGGCCCGGGAACCGTCCAGGCAACCGGTTCCGTTTTACCCCAAACCCAGTTTTTGGCCAAAAACCATTGAAAAAGTCAACAACCCGTTGACCCGGATGGTCGAACCGTTGACCCATTGACCCGTTCAACGGTTTTTAACCATTTTTTTATTTTTTAATTATTTTTTACTTTTTTATATTTGTTTGTCAGAACAGGCCATCAGTTCAAACCAGATGGTTGGACCGTCGACCTGGAAACCGGTGGCCAGAACGGTTCCGTTTCTGGGTCATTTTTTAAAACGTTGCTGTAAGGGACAAGCTTATACAAACAAACAAGTTAAAACAGGTTGGTTGCATACACAATAGCAGAAACTGCACGACAATATCTCTCCCACATACTGCGAAACCTGGGTTGGCCTCCAAGATCCCATAACTTTATTGTCACATTCCCTTTAGTTACCTTCCTCATGTTAAATCCAACCTGTAGTCCACATATGTGCATACAACAAAATTAATTGCAAAAACATGGTAGATTAAGGAATAAGATACTTTACAAGCTCGTATTCTAAACAGAAAAGAAAGACATCACACACCGTAGGAATCATGTCTTCACTGTACCCTCCAGTCTACAGTAAAGATCAAAAGGGAATATCTTAGAAGCCAGCACTAGAAGGAAATTAATTAAAAAGAGAAAAGAAAGGAAGAAGAGAGGGGATTCTAAAAGTAATGCTTCAAGTAAATATGTACTTACTGCAATAACATTCACAAGGGAAGTTTTTCCTGCATTCTGAAGCCCTATCAAAGATAACTCCATTTCTTGCTTGAAAAAGAGGCTGCAATTGGGAAGAAAAAGAGAGGTTATTCAAATTCTTGTCCATCTGATTCCCCCAGGGCAAGAGTCTATCTAGACCTAATGAATTCAATTTTTCTTCTATGTAGGCTTCAACATTTATCAATTCTAAGAATTAGGAGTATCATGATCCTAACTAGGAGTTCTCCAATTCTTAAATTAAAGAAAAAACACTTAACATGATTATTGATAATAAAAGATTGTTATAAAATAGGAATATTATGATAGTAACCAGGAGGTGAACTCCAATTCTTAAATGAAAGCACATTTAAAACGCTTAACGATAGTAAATGATTGCCAGAAATTAAACCTCCCAAGACTCAGTTCGGAGGTGGGAGGATTAAGGAGCCACTTGAGTCAAGTGGGAAGATGAACAGTCATTTCGATAAGGGGGGCTCAGAGCTTGAAGACGAGGTTGTTTTTGGAATTGCAGGCAAAGTTTTTTGCTTTGACAACAGTGCATCAGATCATGATGACAGCAGATTTTGGGGGGAGAGGAAGAGTTATGAAATGAGTAAGGCCTCTTCGAATTTCAATTCTGGTTTATGGGTGGGACCGTAGTTATTGATGGTGGGCACTATTGGAGTGGAAAAGGGAAAGATGGAACATGTTCTCTATCAGCTGGATAAGAGGGAGGGTTTGGACAAGGGAAGTGAGACACTTGCAAGTAGTCCTGAACCTGAAGAGTCACCTTGGGGGATGAGAGTGGGTGGAGCTTCAAGCAAGAAATTATTTAAAAAAAGCAACCCGGTTATCCAAGTTACCAATAGATAATAGGAGTCGTTTCATCTTCAACGATCCAAAGGATAGAAAGATTGGGATTACAAGTAGGCAAATTGGTTTCAAGGGACACAGGGGAAGGGAAGGTTTTTGGATTTGGGTGATTACCAAATATGAAGGAGCTGTTAAGTGGAAGATCGAGATGGGTGTCGAGAAATGTGAAGATGCTAGTTTTGATTGAAATGGATTTCCAATTGGTCGTCCTCCAGTGGCCATCGACAGAGAAAGTGGTGAGTCCTGCCTTGGTTGCAACTCAAGTGTTTGGTCCAGATGAGGGACAAGATAGAAAGGGTAGAGCTTGGGCGAAGGGCTGGGACAAAGGGGAGTTAGCTTGATAAAGATGGTCAGTCGAGAGTTGCAGAAAGTGGAGATGTGTCTAAGAAAAATGCAGTCGAGGATGCAGAAACTTGGACTCTTCCTATGGACAAGTCGTCATCGGATTTCTCTTCTTTTTTCGAAGAAGTGCTGGTAGGTGTTGATTTGGGGCATAGGAGGAAGGCAGAGGAAATAGATGAGGTGGCTGGTGAAGAGATGAGGCCTAAGAAGAATCAGTGCTCAAGTAACTTACACATTTCTTTTATGAATAAGTAACCCGCACGTTGTTCACGTCACTAAATTTTCTCTCGTCCGAAGTGTGGCTTGATTGGGGCAGGGCCAACAAAAAACTATAAGAGGAATATCTTAGAAGGGGGAGAAGTCAAAAATGTTGACTTCAAAGGTTTCAAATGGAGTTGAGCCTCCTGACTCTTTTAGTTCAGAATCTAATTTGGTGTATTTGCCTCAAGAGAAGAAGAAAAAGGGGGATTGGGATGAAAATACAGGGAACATGGTTGGTAAGATCTCAGTTGAGGATGTGGAGAAGGAAGGATGCTTGGAGATCGAGAAAATTTTGGAAGTAAGCAAAACTCTTAGTCTAGTCTTTTTGGGTGGTGAAACGTTTGCTAGGAAAGCCATTAAGTTTGAGCAAAGAAGGAAGGAGGAGAGTTTGAGAAAGAAAGTAGTAGAGGAAAGTGGAGAGATCTGGAATGAGACTGTTAATGGGGAGGAAGAAATGCTTGAGGAAGAGGAGTAGCTGTGGATTTTGTTTTGTTTTGTTGGAGCCAGGCGGGTGTCAGAGATTGGGGTTGTTAGAGATCGATGCTTTGTGGGAGAGGTTGGAGTTGTCTTGTTTGTTAGGAGTTTCTTTTTGTTGTTTCAATGGTGTTTGATGTTGTGAAGTTAGTGTTCCCTGTTCTTGGGTGATAGCTTGTCACCTCTCTCCCGTATTCTCTTTTTCCTCTTTAATGAATTTTCTTTTATTACCAAAAAAGAAATTAAACCTCTCAAGAAATATTCTTTCACTTGCATCTTATATACAGAGTTATGTTTGGTAATCTCATTAATTGCTAGTGCACTCAGCCTCAGCCACTAGCTTAGGCAACTTTAATTTTCAAAAGCATAGATATGCCTTTACTATTTTATGGGTTTGAAGAACATAACTATTCCAGTTCAGTTTTATTGCTAACAATAATTAAAAACATTATTGATAAAAAAACAGAAAACAATTAGAAGTGTCAGGCCTTCTTAAGGAGGCAATACCAAACAAACTGAAAAACTAGGACAGCCAGGATACATACATCAAATAGACCAAACAAAGAAAACAAAACATGACAAAGCAACCCAGGAGGGAAGACACCAATAAAATCCAATCTTCTAACTTCACACAGATTTTTCAATATATTTGACATACACATATTGCTAAAAAATTCACCACTTTAATTTGAGAATAGTATGGTTAAACGAGAGAAAAATGTAAAAACTAAGGAGGTATCAAAATCTAAACTGGTATGTGCACAATATAATAAAAATATTTGCATAATCTTTCCCATACAAGTGAAAAACTATCATATGATTAACTTCTTAGTAGTCAATCAGTCACCAAAAACACCAAGCAAATGCAAAATCCACACCCCATTAGACCATGGTTAGCCTTGGGAAATTGCCACATCAATCAAACACCTGGTGAACCTAACCAAATCTTTTAAATTTAAAACGAATCAGAGTCTCATAAACTAAAAATTGGAACACAGGATAAGCTAGGCAAATCACTACATACAAATTTCATCGGTTGGTATGATGGCATCAACATAATGAATTGTAAAAAGTAATTCAAGAAATGTGTCATCTTTGGCATTTCCACTTAGTCATTTGATAACTCTTAGTTTCCTCCAGTATTTACTCATACTTCTAAAGTCCAAGATACAAAAGCTTATCCACATCTGTGAACAAACATACAAAATCTACAGCGATCCGTATGGACAATGAACTAGAAGAAACTAGAAACAATTAAGAAACACCACCACCTTTATATAAGAATAAGTAGCCAGTCGTCCAATGCAACAATACAAGACATGATTGAGCATTCTTTCACCAATAGATTTCTGGTAAAAATCTAATTAAACAGTTAACTAGAACTCCGATATTGATTGCAGCATTACTTCCAAACTGAAATTCTACAATCTTCAAGTCAATAACTCAATTAGAAGACGTTAATTTTCCAAAATAAAAAGAAAGAACTGCAGTAGAACTGAATCCTGGTATTTCACCAAAAGGAAACCCCTCCCAAAACCCTACATAATCATTCTGCGTGCTAAACATTGAACAAGTTGGAGCAAAATTCTCTATCTGCAAACGCAATAAGCATAGGCACACAATGTCATTGGAGATTCAACGAAAATGGTGGGAAAAAAAAAAAAAAAACTAAGAGAAGCATAGGCACACAATGTCAGCTAATTAGTCAAACAATCAAAGACAGAATTCCTTGATAATATCCCGAAATCAAATTCCACGGAACCATATGCATTAGATTAAATGACAAAAAGAGAAAAAGAAGATAGAGATAGAGGCTTTGGGAAAATAAAGAAAAGGCGTTATCATTAATTTACCTTCGCAGCCAATTGAGGAAAGCTTCCCACAGACCCATTGAAGAATATACAGAGAACTGGAGAATACGAATTTGCCCACACGAGAACTGAAAACGATTTAGGGTTTCTCGACTGGATAAAACATGTAGCAGAAGGATCTATGAAACTCTGTTTTTAAATTGACCTTCCGCCCTGCCCAACCTTCCTTTCCCCGCTATCTACCAAAAAAATAAAACTTCCTTCCCGGTTACTGAAACCGCATTCGTAGATTTAGATAGACAAAGAAAAAATCGAAGGAAAAAAACTAGGGCGTGATTCGAATCGAGCGCCCCTTTCTTTTTTTTTTAATTGGGGGCGCCGCTTCTTCATCAAGTTAAATGGAAAAAGACAATTATATGCCTGTACACCTGTGTAATAAAGTGACAACCTCGTGGGGGCATTGTTGTCTCATCATCTCCTAATTGATAGGGGCGCTTCGCTTCTGTCAGAACTGGAATCAATTCAGCGTCCGAAAACAAGCAATAAAAAGATTAAAGATGCGGTAAGCAAGTAAAACGTAAGGCTTTGTTTGGGCAAATTACTAAAGTAACCCGTTTCCTTTTACGGTAAATACAATCTGATTTTTGAAAGATGGTAAGATTTGTTTTTGATAAGCATATTGGATTCAAAGGAAAGATGATCTCGAAAATGGAAGGTAGGAGTGGATAACTCAGAGAATGAGAATGAGTGAATGACATCTGCGTCGCGTATCGAATATCGATGGTGTTATCTGTTTTGGGACCACTTCATGATTTTTGATCGGCGGTTGCTGCCGCCCCGCGCTGATAAGCGAGTCGAGGGGCTGAAATATTTAACAGTTCAACTTTCTTTCTCTTTTTGTTTTTATTTACACGAATCCATACGACAAATACAGGTTATTTGAGAATTGAGATCCATCTATCAGTAGGTCCCACCAATTATTTCAATCCAGCTGTTTTTATTGTGGCATCATTGACTATTGTAAAGTGACAATTGATTAAATCTTCTTTGTTATTAATGTCCGTTAAGAGAAAAATGATAAAGACTATTTTATCCCTTGTTTTCTTCAAATTTTCAAAATGAAATGACAACAATAATGATCTGCAGCACTGTCTACCGAATTTCTCAACATCATCAGCACTTAAGTCATGGCCGGCAGACACCATGACCTGGCCTACTTTGTTGTGAATTTCATCTCTAGTTCCTTGTCTAAGCAAACATCAAATGGCCGTGGATGATGATAGAAAATTGTCTCGTACATCGGAAATCGGATTGGAGGATGAAACGAACATTGAGACGACCACAAGATACCTACATTTGAATCTGATTCAATTTCGCCAGGAACAAGGAAGCCATCGTCTCCACCCTGAGATCAGGGACTGGTTGGTCGATGACATTGTCTGCTTCGAGTGCAACCTCGTCCTCGAACGGCAAAGGATCTTAAGTTGGATGGAAGAGGAACGTAGAGAGAGATGAATGTTGCAAACCACAGGTAGACAAACATAGCTTGTCAAACAATGACGGTTCCGTTATAGAGGCTGATGAGGGGTGATTTGGCACGACCTAGTAAGTGAAGTTCACATGGATGCGATCTGTCCGAAGGGTGACAACTCAGCAAAAGGAGCCAATTCAGCAGTTTTCAGAGCTTGGGTGTTCAGCCACCTCGGCATAAAGCCACCTCGGCATAAAGCCACCTCGGCATAGAGTCACCTCGATGTAAAGGCACATCGGTACCTAACCCAATTCGGGGTCCAAGAACCAAAGTGACACGTAATTGACTCCAAAAGCTTCCCAGCGGACTCCGAACCTCATGGGATCATGCCATGTAACAGTAGGCCTTATCCTCTCCCCGCCCGGTTCGGGCGGAGACGATAGACTCCATTAACTGATACATTACTCCCCGACTAAAGCGGAAACGGATCTCATCTACTAAGACCAAAGATCCCAAAACCGTTTCGTGAGACCCATGGCAGCTCAACTATATAAGGGCGTCAACCCCTCTGGGTCCCAGGTATGCGCGGTTACTTACATTCAAACTCTCTAGCATTCAAACTTTAGCTCGCAACCACAGCAAAAATACTAACTTAAGCATCGGAGCAACCTCATTGGGTCATCCACCCCAGTCTCTCTAATCCTTATTTTGCAGTTTCATCCAGCTCGCAATGTGAGCACGCCCAGGCAACCTTCCAGCTAGGAGCTCTCAGATCGCAATTGGTGTCGTCTATGGGAAACGATCGAAAGGTCATCCCAATCCTAGTTACAGTCTCAGTCTCAATCTCAGCCTCAATGGCATCATCCAGCCACAAGGGAAAGAGCGACATGAACATTGTTGAGGGGCAAGAGCAGCAAACAGTCACTCCCCAGGGTTCCTCGGTGACAATCGGCCAGTTCACCATTCCCCTGATTGTCTCCGGGGTCCCATCACTGTCCATGCCGCAAACTACACAACAGGTGAGTGTCCCACTCCCCCAAGTGAGTGCCACCTCCTTAGAGCCTTCCGTGATCCCCCGGGGGTCGGGCACTTCCAATTCAACAACCTCGTCCAAAGCGTTCAAATGGTGCAGATCCATCATTTCCAGCAGTTTCAACATTACTACTTTTATCAACAATATCAGCAACAGTTTCCACCACTGCAATCAAACCAACTGACAAATCATCATCAAGGGCAAACCCAGAACCAGAATCAGCATCGAGCTCACCAAAATGTCCGCCAGTCTCCCCCGTGCGGTGAAAGAACTTCGCAGGTATCGGTCCCTCCCATGGGACGGACCCCATCGCGGGGTACAGTAGGCGACCAGCGTACTCCCCCTGATTCCCGAAGAGAAAGCTCGAGGGATAGGCCCGAACCCAGCCAACCTAAGAGGTGCAATCAGCAAGTTCCACATAAAGGTAACATAGATCGCAAGCTTAGGGCCTGAGGTGTGGGCTCGAGAGAAGACCCTCGGCTCCTCACGACAATCAACCTCAAACATGTAATGAAGAAGAAGTGATGAGGAGAACCCCTGAACCACCTCACCCCACTATTCGGAGTAAGATCGAAGTACTCAACAACACGGAGACTCGCCATTCATCGACAAGGAACAGTCCACCCACGAAGCTCAGCCATCCAACAGATTAAGGTCGGGAAAGAGAGGAGGTGAGCTCGGTGGCCACAAGAACAACGCCTGCTCTCTTGAGCCGGCCATCCCCCCTCTCACCCGAGCTCCTAGCAGCCCCAATGCCGAAGGATTTCAAGGTACCGCCACTAAACAAGTATGATGGGTCCTTTGATCCCAACGATCATGTAGACACATTCCAATCCCAGATACATCACTGGGGCCGATGAGGCTTGTATGTGTGTGGCTTTCTCCACCACATTCAAAGGAGTAGTCCGGACCTAATATAGAAACCTCGTGTCGAGTTCCATCAAAAGCAGGGCGCAGGTCGCAGACATGTTTACGGCTCACCTCATCACTAGTAAGAAGTGTACGATGTCACAGGAAAGCCTTCTAAACATGGTGCAAAGGAAAGGAAAGTCAATTCGAAGCTATATCAAGCGCTTCAATGAGACATGCCTGCAGATACCATACCTTGACCTAGAAGTACGTCTCACCGCAGTGCAAAAAGTAATCACTCACAAAGAATTCAAGTGGCACGTCGTGGGCAACAAGTCGAAGAACATCACTAAGTTCCTCAAGCTAGTTGATTAATTTATCAATATAGAAGAAGAGATAAACCAGAAAACTGACAATCAAGGAGAGAAGAGGAAGAGAGAGGAAGAAGGAACGAGCAACAAGAAAAGAAAAAAGAGCAAATCCCCTAAGCGAAGGAGCAAGCCCCTAAGTGAAGGAGCAAATCCCCTAAGCTTGAGGAGTAAATCCCCCTCGCAAAGTTACAGGCCGGGTCGGCATTCCAGGACGCCGACTATACTCCCCTTAACGTGAATAGAGGAGAGATCCCAATGGCCATCAAAGACTCCTCCATCATCAGATGGCCACCCAGGGTACGGGGAGACCCAACGACCAGGAACCCGAACGTCTATTGTCACTTTCATCGGGACCATGGTCACAACACAGAAAATTGTAGAAACCTTCGCGATGAGATCGAAGAGCTAATCTGTCGTGGGTACTTGAAGAAGTACATCTTGCATGAGGCAAAAGCAGTAGACATAACGAATAGCCACCTCGCCCGCTACCAGAAGAAAGGCCGATCCGCTGAGTGATTAATATGATCATTGGAGGATCTATCGTAGCGGGGTGCACAACAGCAGCCGAGAAAATGTCAGTCCGAGAAGTAGAGCATGAAGCAGAGAACCCACCCAAGCGACCTCGGATTGAAGAACCAATCTACTTTACCGACGACGATGCTCGTAGGGTTCAGTATCCTCCTGACGACGCCTTGGTCGTGAAGATGATTACCAATGACTTCGAAGTGAAGCGGATCTTGGTGGACTCGGGCAGTTCGGCCGATATCCTCTTCAAAGAAACTTTTGATAAGTTGCAACTACAACAGAGCGATCTAAAACCAGCAGATGCCCTACTAGTAGGGTTCAGCGAAGAGGAAGTCAGGCCTATAGGACGCGTCACAATACCAGTGGAGGCGGGCACTGATGTGTGGCTCATTGTGACACTAGCAAGTGCACTAGCCGCTCAAGTAATAGAGTAGTGAGTAGAGTATCGTTCCCACGAGGACTTATGTAGCAACTACTAKTAATAAATYAGTCTAYTGTTATCTGATCAGCCGAAATGTAAAACTAATGAAAATCTGAAATTCTAACTACAAAG